CTCTCTTGCACTGAGATAAAAATAGGACAAGTTAAAAGGATGGGGACAAAACTAGAAACTGAGCCATCACCTCTTGAGCAACCCTTGCAATTTAACACATGCTTTATGTCACTTGTATATTTGATTAGTTTTGAAGTATGTTAAACACAAGAACCTAGATAAGTGGTGCCACAGGGCAAAGTCATTTTGCCCAACATATGAATACTGTGAAGTACACATAGGCTAATACTTTGCTCTTCCATACTTACTAAGTCTAACTTGATTGCTGTGAAATGTTCAAAAATATTTTCCACCAACATCTACTTTCCACATGTAGCTCATCACACCACTCTCCTACCAGAACAACTTCCATACAATGGTATTAATTCTTAACATCAGCAAAAACGATAGCAGAAACCTTGCTTTTGGTTCAACCACGACTCACAGGTATTTATTGCACATAAAATGGATTTTAAAATATTCAGTTCATGGTATGATCTATTGTATGCCTTGGACAGAAGCAGCATTTTGAATGTACCAGAGAATCAATGGATTCAGTTACCTGTCAGGAAAGTAATGCATGATGGATTAGGCATTAACCTATCATCACCATACACAAGGTACTAGTATAGATGATCTGTTCTCCAGAAATCTTGTGTATTTTTGTAGTTTACTATTCAACCAGAAGGACAATAGAATAGAGTATGTCTACCTCTTCCTTCTAACACATTCCAAAAGCTTCTCTTTCAGCTGACGCTAGAAAATACAAAATATCTGTTACAGATGTCACCAAACTTCATAAAAACATTAAAAGTAACACCTAGTGTATCACTTTAGTAATTTCTGTCAGTGCAAAATGAAATGAAAAAGGTAAATACATTTATATAGCTATCTTAGTACCTCCAATGACTGCAGGTCATAGAGAAGTTAATTTGAATGTGCAAGGAAGGGAGAACTTAGGTAGTTTCTCACTTTTCCTTCAAAAATCTCAGAACCAAAACTTTACAAGTAACCATTAACTGTATAAAACAGCTGACCAACCCATTCAACCAGCTACATGAATTTACAGCCAGCAGGGTGACTACTGGCATGTGAACAAGGTTCTCCTTTTCTCTCTCCACTTTACCACCTGACTGCTTATCCTGGTGCCATATTCCATCTCCGCCTCACATTTACACCGCCAAGATTCCAGAATATCCTCGGTGAAGACATTTCTCAAAGCTACATCCTAACTTGAAAGTGATGTTCCCTAGAAGTGTGGGACTTACTGATTCACTTAGATCCACGTGAGATGGGGCTCTGAGCAACCTGGTCTAGCGCCAGGTGTCCCTGTACACGGCAGGGGACTTGGAACTAGGATGATCTTTGAGGTCCCTTCCAACCCAAACCATTCTGTGAGTCAATGATCTCCATTATTCCTTCATCCAAAGGCAAGATTTGAGAATTATACCAGATCTATTGTATCTACTCAACCGTGAGGCCATTTGTCTTTGCAGAAAAGTAATGAAAGAGTTCAAACGCTATAGCCACAAACATAGTATTAAAACACGCAGTCATCATTATCTGCTGCATTATTATTAGTTCCACCCGAGCATTTCTTTATTGATGCCTGATTACTGACTGTTAGGGAATTATGTTTTTTCAGCAATACCATTTAGTGGATGCTTCTCACTGTGCAGCACGGTGCTCTTCAGGAGAAGTAAAAATTTTTTTCCCAGAAAAGCCCAGGGCCTTTACCTTGCTCTACACAGAAAATACTTGCAATTTGCATGCATCAAACCATCTTCTATGCTTAAAACCTAAGAGAAGTCTTGCAGTTATGTAAGCAGGAATGACCAGATGTGACAAATGCTGCGAGAATTCTGCTGTATCTTCTCCTCACCGTACGCTACATCCTCGATGCAGGAATCTGAGCAGAGCAGGTGAACCTTTATGCACACACACACGGATGGAGTCCCAAGGCTTTGATCAACCACAAGGAAATACAGACATTTATCAGGCTGGAGAAACAAGACCTCGCTCAGGAAACATCCTGATACCAGTGGAACAAAAAGCAGGCTCAGTGCAAAAGTGAGAGGTGAAAGGGCCACAAACAATAGGGCACTGAAAAATAATCCCTTCATGCCATTCCTTTGCTATTTTATTGCTGCAATGTTTTGGACACAAACTCACATATATATGTATATATATATATACATATACATGTGAAGATACAGAAACATGTACATACGTATATTCATTTCACCATCCAAATATCAGAAAGCCACCCCCCCATCAATCATTTTTGCTTCCAGCCTAAACCCAAGTGGGGTTGTTTTTGCTCTAATATCCAGTCTATTGCATGCAGGCAGTAATTAAAATGCAGTAGTCTCCCCTGCAAAACCACCACTGGCTTCAGAAAAGGCACGAAGCCCTACAGACAGTAAAGCACAATTTTTTTTATTCTTACTAGCCATTTGTTGGATTCATATTCAACTAAAAAGAAATATATTTCACATTTGTTTTCCATTTTCTAAACTACTTTAAATATATACCCTTTAAGCATAATGACCTAGTTTCTTCTGACATTTTCAAATAATATTTGATAAATTAGTAGGTTTTACTGTAATTTTAATATCTGAATTTTTCCAAGCATGTATGAGGGTGGATAGTCCAGTAACCTTCACAACAACTAGCCATAGAGCCTCCAGGAACATTCGGAGTATTTATATTCACATACTGAAAAAAACTGTCAGATTTTCTGATGGCTGCATCCTAGACAAAAATCCTGATATGTTTTTAATATATTGAGGTATAGATGCTTACTACAGCAACCAAAAATTGCACATACTCTAAGTACTGAGCCCTGAGAAGCCCTGCAAAACAGTAGTTTAATTCAATGATTACATCTAACAGTCAAATAATACCACACCGTGAAACTGAGGAGTTTATTAAGGTTGATATGCTGCATTTCCCGAGTGAAATTCCCACAGCAAACAAACAAATAACAGCTTCAGCAATAAATTTACAAAGATTCTACTAACACACAAAACATTTTGGTAAAGAACCAATTTATTCTTGCAGCTGAAGCCACACATTCCATGTGTAAGGATTTTTAGCAAGCATATATATGTCTGCTCTAAGTCACCAGCAAGGACTCTTTGCAAAATCTATTACAAACTTCACTGCCGCCCTACAGTGTTTACAGTTACCTTCCTTGGATATATGAAAAGGCTAAAATCCAAACGCATCTTCCCTTTTTTTTTTTTAAACAGGCCTCTTTAGCTTACTCAGTGTGGGCAGCACTAGCCCCTAAATTTAACAATCAGTATAAATCCACTTGAAAGCAAATGCCAATAAGAAACTATTCACACACACGAAATACATGGGCAATGACTGATACCAGCCTCTTGCTTGCTTAATGTCTGTTAGCAAGAAGCCCATTTTCTCTGAAATCTGTTTAAATATGGTGTTTACCATCTCCCTATCCTTAATAGTGTTTACTCCCCGTTTCAGCCGACATATTTAAAAAACAAAAAAAAAAAGCCAAAACCAAAAAGCAAGTATAAATATGTTCAAGAAGTATGGCAAATTCCCTTCTCCACCCCCAGAGCGGTAAAGCCACAGCAGATGAGCTGTAACTATGGCCTTGGGAATACAAGTTCCCCAGGCTCTTTTACCACACAAATATCAAATCCAAGTTACAAGAGCCCTACCCTCCCATAGTTAATGAAGATTGAGCCAACGAGCCCGCACGACTTCACAGGAATGTTTCCTTCCCGTTTTCCTAACAAGGCTCTCCTCCCATACCGGTCCAGGATGGACTGCAGAAGGGTGTAAGTGGAAGGATCATCACACCACTGTTTAGTGGAGGAATAAATCAAACATGGCTTCCCCCTCCATACATTTCCAGAGTTACATTCACTCCTGCTGCCGTACAATCCCAGTCCTACCCGGCGGGAAGGGGCAGGAGCAGCCTCCACCTCCCCACACTCTCACCGCCACGGGGGGGACATTTGCAGCCTCCACACCCCTTAAGGAGGCGGTTTAAAAGCCTGGGGAGGCTTTTTTTTTTTTTTTTTTTTAATCCCTTCCCATTGGTCGTGTCCCCCCCCCTCTCCGGTTTTCTTTCTGACTTGCACTGATTGATCCCCCATTCCCCGGGGGAGGGAGGTGGGACGGGTGGGCACCTCTCCCTTACCCCTTTATGCTGCCCCCGACCTCCCGCAGCGCCGAGGAGGAGGAGGAGGCGGGCAGGGGGGGGAAAAGGATGAAGCTGCAACAGCCGGGACTCCTGCTCGGCATCGCTCCTTTCCGCTCCTCCGCCACCCAGGAGTCAGGGCCCAGCC